TCTGCTGGAAGTGTGTTCTCCATGGTTAGGACTGGCCTTATCTGTAGGTCCTGCTCGCTGAGGAGGCTCTGGCACAGGCACCCCACAGCTGTGGTGTCTGCTGCTGCTGAGCAGGGGTGTCTTCTGGTGTCTGGATGTTCTATGGCCTTTGCATCAAGTAGCAGCTCTTCTTGGGACACACTTGTGGGCACAGGGAGGAGAAGGTCCCTGGGATCAGTCAGCACAGGGTGACCAGGGGTAAATGTGCCTGAGCGACATGATTGCCTCCAGCGAAAGAGCGATGGGAGTGACAGCACTGGGTGTGTGACTGGGCTCCCGCATCCTGGCCATCCCCTGAGGCAGGTAAAAGTGGAGTGCTCCAGGGTCTGTCCTGGGCCTGTCCTGTTAATGTCCTCTGTTGGTGACCTGGATGATTAGGCCTGCTTTCACCAAGTGTGCAGATGGCACAGAGCTGGGGTTACAGCTGTCAGCATGTTGAGGACAGGTGTATGCTGTGCAGCAACCTCAGTAGGCCAGGACTGTCTTCCAGGTCCTTCTGCTGGCTCAGGCACTGCAACCTGCTCCTGCAGTAACCAGTACAGTTGCAGCCACACGTCTGGGGTCAGCAGGAGCCTTCTGTGTGCTCCTGGTACCCGGGAGATGCTGCACTGCCTGAAGTACTGATACTGGCTCCTCAGCTGATTATTTGTGGCAAGCATTTGTTTGCTCATCATGCAGCAACGCAGGATGCTCCTGGGTGGAGAACAGCCCCTGAAATCTCAGAGCTGCCAGTAGCTGCAGACATCTGCTGATCTGGGGCATGTAATCTCTGCTCTCAGACCTTGACATTGGTGTCTAATCTCTGCTATTTGGGACTACAGGTTTTTGTACAACCAAAACCAGGCCACCAGTCTGTGGGAAAAATGGTAACATCTGCTGCAAAGGTCAGAAAATATTTCCATTTGACTAACAGAATGCAGCAGCACAAGGCCTTACAAATAGGCATCCTGCCTGTCCCAGCCGACACAGAGGAAGCAGCTACTGCCTCTCAATTGTAAGTGCCATCTGATCCCTGGGGAAGACTTTAAGGGATGATATTTCCCTGCTGAGAGTCCTGCCTTTTCTCTCTGTACTTCATTAGTAATAGTTGAGGGTCCTCTTGTTCATCAAGAAATGCATGCACCACTCACCTAATTTCTCACAGATTGTATTATGAAAAAGGATGTCACCCCTACAGAGCTAAGTAGAGTACTTTGCAGTTAATTACGTGGTGTCTCCCCATTTGCAAGGTTTACGCCACTACTTATTGCCCCAAAAAAGGAAAGGAAAGAACAGAAGAGAGAGTAAAAGCAGAATAAAATCACAGCTATCTGAGAAGCTGAGCTGTGTGGAGCCTGGCTGGGGCTGGCGGATCCTTTGGCAGGCAGCTCCTGTCTGTGCTGGGGTGTGCGTGGCAGAGGGATGTCTCACTCCTGTGGGGGTGGACTTGTGATATGAAACACTTGTGTTCCGAGTATGAATAATTTCATACACAAGTGAAATCTGGTGCTTGTTTGACAGCACAGCAGTTCTGTGCTGCTGCGGTTGGAGTACCCCTCATGGAGCTCCCTCAGCCACCTGGGTTGGAAATGGCAGCAGTGTAGGAGAAAGGGCTGAGAAGTAGTTCTTGCGTTGGGCTCTGGGTTCTCTAGGCCTGGTGCTCACTGCAGTGTTCCATGTGCTGCTGAGACCTTGCTGCTCTTGCAGCAGCCCTGTGCCTGCAGCTGGGTGAGGACCAGGGGCAGCCCTGTCCATTTTGTGTCTTTTAAACTGGGTGTTCTGTTTTGTGGCGAGAGAAATGCACTGAACCTGGGGTTATTTAGTAATTAGATTCAGTGATTTATCAGGATGAATGAAAGTGAGCTTTTTAGTGAAGCTGAGGCATTTGGATTTTTAGATCATTTTTTCCTCTTTGGCTTAATTCAAAGTATTACTATGAAAATTTGCATATAATGAAAGAGGAATAGATGAAGGACAGGAAACTGAATGGAGAATTAAAAAGCTGTGTAATTCCATTTTGCAGTGAAGTACACGCTGTTGATCCAATAAGGGAGACTTTGTTGCTGTCTGTTCTCATTTTGTACTTTAACTGTAGCTGAAAAGACTCTTTGAATGCCGGAGTCGTAATTACTGTTACCAGGAAGGATGGAATGGTAGAGCTGTGGGGCAGAAACGTGCCTTGTGCTGCTCCCCTGCCCCGAGAGCTGCCCCAGTGATGGCTGCAGGTTCCCCATGCAGGCTGGTGGCCGACAAGCATCGCCTCTGTGAGCTGCTCAGGGTGGCACCCAAAGCTGCGGGGTTTGTATGGGGACATGCAGGCTTTGTACTGAGAGTGGCTGTGCATTTAGCTCATGTGCATTTAGCTCACATCCACAGCGAGGAGCTCCCAACAATCCTGGCTGGCAGAGCGGAGCGCGGTGGCATTGCTGTATGTTGGGAGCCCCCTGCTGCACAGTGCACCCACACTGTGTCCTCTGCAAGAGCAGGGCTCCCTTCTGGCATGTTTTATCCTGGATTTTATGCAGATAGCCGCACCTGCCTCAGCAGCACTCTAGGGTGAGCTCTGTACTGCTGCACAGCTCCCTTTTGCCTTCTGTACGTGGTGACAGCAATGCTTCCGAGCAAATGCATTAGAAACTGTTGGCTGGGGTATTCTTGAGATCAGAGAAGCCTTCTAGTAGTGCTCTGGTGTGACTTGCTCATGGGCTGTGTCAGTTGTTGTGCAACTGCGGTATTTTGTTCAAAACCCTATACATTGATTGCTCTGCTTACGTGCACTGCTGTGGGAGGTGTGCACGCCAGCGATGAGCACACTCAGCTCAGAAAGAAGTTTCTGGAGCTTCTGTGTTTCCACATTGGTGTCTTCAATGTAAAAACCCACATCTGCAGTGCTCAGCGAGCTGTCAGAGCCCGGCTCTGCAGGGCTGGAACACTTCTTTGACAGCTGCAAGATAGCACTTCAGTTTCCACGGAAACTGGCACTGGCTCTCTGAAATCAAGGTGAAGAGTTGGCTGATCATTGAATAATAATGCTGAGCATTTAAATATGAATTTCTTCACCTTACTCTTTCAATGGCAATAATTGCCATTCCTACAGCATCCAGCAAATACTAAAGAAGTCTTATGAATTCCAAGTGTTGCAGCTTGGGCTGTGTAATCCCCTTCCAGAGAGAGGGCTGGACTTCAGCTCTGTTGGGACACAGCCTTATGGGCTGCTGCTAAACGGAAGGGCTGATTTGTGCCCCTGTCTGCTGCACCACTGTTTGTACGTTCTTTTGTTTTCACCATACATATTCATACCATAACTTTCCAGAACATTTTTGTTGTCAGATGCATTTCCTGGAAAATAATTCTCAGTTGCATGAACGTTTTATCTGCTCCCACCCTCACATATCACCGCAGTGTAATTGCGCTGGCTTTGCGCTCACCGGACTCTTGTTTTGTGTCAGTGAGTTTCATGGTCTTGCTGAACATTCCTTTTTCCAGGTCACTGAATTCTGAGGTTAAAAATCCAACCCTCCCGCCGATCCCTGCTACGTTCCACCGACCTCCTCGCTGTATCCGAACTGCTCAATTACCTCTTGTCTTCGATTTCAGAGGCTTTTATTGAACCCACAGATCAGTCTTCTGTGCAGGAAGCAGTTTCATATTAGATTCAGGAACATGTTCCTGAGAATGTTTCTTACTCTTATACCTCAATTTGTTCAGGTTGTTTAAATTTTCTTGCTTAATTTGCTTCTTGACATGTCCTTTGTAGGGTACTTTCTCTACTTTTTTTTTTTTTTTTTTGCAAGAGATGTCCATCTTTCTGTCTTCTATTCTTTTCCTCCTACTCTTGAATAACGTCTTCTACTGTGTGACAGCCTTGACTTGGCGTGTTACAGCCCTCCATCTTTCCCACCCTCCTGAATCCCTTCACTCCTTTGCCATCCTTTGGTCATTCTAGGAACAGAGGAAGAACCAGCGTTCTCCTGAAGGTGTTTGCGCTGCTTTGCTCAGTAGGGACCTGGGAATTTCCCTAGGTGCATCTTTTACCTGTCACATCACTAAGTCCACACCCCTCAATTCTTTGTCTGTAGGTGATATCCACTTTAGCCAGGCTTGGTGCCAGGCTGGTAGGTCAGATGTGCTGGGGAGAGCACAGAGACCCCAGCCAAGGAAATGACGTGTGTGACCTACCACCACATGAGGCCCTTGGTATAAAATAGGTATTAATGGAAATTAGGGCAGAATGTATATCTCGATCTTTGGGTATCCTCATCCTCCATACAAAATTACCTCTATTTCAGGTATCTAAATTGACAGACATTGCTCTCTTGTAGCTACTGACTTTTCTAGGAGTGTAGCATGGAAGAGAAAGACTTCATGTACTCATTAGCATGTCAAGGCGCTGTTTTCAGGTGTATTGTCCCAGGAATGGTCACACTTCTGCCACAGACTTCTTAAACAAGGCCAGACTGAACTTCTGGTTGCAGAGAGACACTGTGCAGTCTGTGCAGGGCTGCTGTTACTCTGAGTTGTGTTTTCCACACTGGGTTGCATTTCAGTGCCCAAGGACCGTGTAGGCATCTATAGAACACTCTGACATCCCGGAACAAGTTGTGAGCCTTTGGCAGCGGCTCGGGTTGCTGCTATCTCGGCAGTAGGCAATAAAACCAAGGCTCCTGAGAACAATAGCTTCTTTGCTAGTCTAAGGAGAGGCACATTTTAAACAGTGACTGAATATGACTAAAAATAAGAACTTGACACTGGGGCACAGAGAAGGAAGACAAAGGACACTGCTCCTAACCAGCAGGCTCGCTTACTTACAAACATAGCTTCTCTTTATAAAACCAAAACCAAAGCTGAAATCTGTTCGGCCCTGGAGGACTTTTAGACAAAAACTTGTATTTAGTGGATCAGTTGTTACTTTAGATGATCCATTTTGCGGGTATCACTTAGCAAAGCCCCTCTGAGGTTATGTAATTCCATTCACAGAGGAACTGAGATGCTGGGCTTCCCAAAGGAAATGTGGAAGTTGGATGTGTGAAATAAAAACTGTGAAACCTAACGGTAAATCCCTTCAGTCAAATGAGTATCTCTCATTCAGTGCACCGGATAAATTATGACAGGTGAAAAACCCCAAGCCCAAGTCAGAGGTGGCAAAAATGTCAGCACTGTGTTTAAGAAAAGAAATGGGCCCCAAAACAGGTCAGTATAAATAAATAAATAATCTCCAGGGTACTCTGAAATACTTCATAGCAGGAAGAAAAACGTGGCTGAGCAGGAAGCTGATCATAGAAGACAGTCTGCAATGAACAAGGAGTTTATACAGCCTTGAACACTGTGAATTGAGTGTGTTTTGCTGAGCACGTTGAGCTGCAAGTTACTGCTTTTTTGACATGGGAGCTTTGGTGACCAGCTGGGTGGTAACATAAGAAAGAAAAGAAGAAGGAATGTTATGAAAAAATGCTACTTATACAGACTGGAGTGGTCTCAGACTGCTGGAGGTGTAGAGTCTTCCACAGTGGGTGCTGCCATGCCACCGGACTCCTGTGAATAGCACTACCTTTCCGTGAGCAGGTCACCAGCTTCTGCAGTCCCACACCACCTCATTAACTTCACAAAGGGGTCTTTTAAGATGGAGGAAAAAAGACAACATAATTACATAGCCTATGTCCTTCCAGTAAAGCAGACTATAGCCTCACCCAAGCAATTCCCTTTTAGAACTGCCTTTTGGATGACTTGCATTTCCAGTAGTGTTTTTACAGCATAAGAAAGAGAAGTATGTTTGTTTTAAGCATTTTCTTTTTTGAAACATATAGCAGAAGGAACAGATAAATTACAAGAGGTAGTGAGTTGAGCAAACCTGCGCATAAAATAATCTTTCATAAGAATAAAATGCTGTTTTCACAGCTGTAAATGTATACATCCATATAATTTTAAAATGCAAAATTACTTTTGTTGTGTTTCAGGCTCCTTCCTTTTTGGATTATATAATGAAACACTCAAGTGCTGGACTTGGCAAAGTGGTTTACCTCGTAGCATTGGCAAAAAGAAATCATTCATGCAGCACTGGGCTTGTAACTCATCACATGTGAGAAAGTTAAACTTGGAGTTAGTGTAACCAAAGTGCAGCTGTGTTCTTCACACTGTGTACATTTTGACTGGCTTGTAAAAAGAAAGTAGAAATTCATGACTCTCCTGGGCAGCTTCTTGAGATGACCGAAGAAAACATGATCTGCAACATACTTGGCCACAGCCTGACTCTGAATGGGAAGACAGGCTTTTATCGGACAGCGGAGAAAAGTCAAAGTCAGCTACCTGGAAAAGGAACATTAATGAGAGTGTTTTTAATTCCAGTCATACCAGTTCAAGTGAAACCAGCAAGAATACTCTGGGTTAGAAATGGCACCTGGTCCTCAACCAGTTTCTATCAGAAATCAATTCAAAGTTGGTGACAGATTCATACCAGTTGGACACAAGGATTGCAGCAGCCCTCCTACAGGTCCATTTATGCATATTGTGGCAGGATGCTACCTGTATTAGGTACTTTCCAAAGGGCCAAGGAGCTATCTTTGACTTGGGAGCTCATGCCTTATAAATATGAAAATGTAAGAAGCTACACAAGGGAGGTGGAAGGACACCAGCAGAGATGAGGGTCACATACTAAGCTAGGGTGACAATTTAGTGTCACTTTAGTTAACATAACCATCCTTTTTTACTGTTCCATATCCCTTCTCATCATCCCTCTGCTTTCTTCCATGTAACCACTCCAGATACATCCTCTGGAAGGTATACTTCAATTCAAGCACATGCTTAGGAACTTTAACTAACTAGACATGACAGCCCTGGGAACATGAATTGCAGTTTTATTTCTCCAGAAGCCTGTTGGATGTTTTTCTCCATGCCTGTTGCTTAAACTCTGCCAGCTCACACAGATACCAGAGAAATGCTCCCTCCCACTCTGTTTGCCTGAGGATGAAAGAAGAGACATAGCTGAAAGCTATCTAATTACTATCCCAGCTCAAAGTAATACCTCCACAAGGTCTTTCTGTTGTGTGTTACTTCGAAAGGTCGTGTACAGCACCAGTCCTACCATCACTAAAACCAGGGCGATGCACAGCAGGACAAAGAAGGCTGGCTGGATTCCTGGGAAAGAGCACAAGGGGACATTCCTGGAGTGATACAATACACTGAGAAGAGGTAACAGAAGAAAAAGATGTTTTAGGAGAACTCTTCACATTTTTACAACAAAGGATGTGTATGCATCAGGGAACAGTTTTTTCAGCCTAGATTACTTCAGGTCTTTCTACAATCAGAAAAGTAGGAATATGGGATTGCAAGGGTCAGCTTAAACAGGCTAAAAAAGCTGTTTACGTTTTAGCCCTAACTCCCAAGGGTGTCTGTACTTCTGTCATGCCCTGAATGGGTAGTGAGGAATCTTGATAAACATCATCTTTGCAACAGCTGGTAGCCCTCAGCAAAGAGGATTCTACCTCTTTGCCCTGACTTTACGCTACTCCCTCCTGCAGTGAGCAATCCTACATGTATAGAAGTGCTGTCCCAGTGGGATGTTCTGTAACTGTTCTGTTAGCACAATCTATCTGACTCCTGGCCAGGTCCTCTTTCTCAGATGAATCAGAGCCCCACGAAGGGCAGCAAACAGGGTGGCCTGCAGGGACTGCTGGCTGAGGGAACAGAAACATGTAATGAAATGGAGATGTAGAGAAAACTGCCCTTAAAAAATACTAAAAAGAATTCAGGCTGCTTAATTAAGGGAGTGCTACAGCCACTTATGTTTTTGCACTTATCCTCTCTAACTGCGAGAGAGAGAGACTATTTAAACTGAAAAACATGTAATTTAAATCTTCCCAGGGAACACATTAGCTTCAAGACACTCTTGAGACTAAGGGTTCAGCAGGATACAAAAAGCTCAGAGCAATTACAGTAGGCACAATATAAGCTTTCCCTTCTCTTTATGCTTCCAGAAACCTCAGCAGCTGCAAGTTAATGCCCCGACGTGCTTGAGACAGGCAGAATCCTGGACAATCGGGAACGTCTGTGCTGCAGCTCACCTGTCGGCCACACTTTTATCTCACGGTAGGTCTGCAGCATCGTCACGCCGTTCTGCACTCGGACGCTGAGGCAGTACTGCCCGGCGTCACTGAAGGTATGGCTGAGGTTGTAGCAGGAGCCGGTGATCGCCACCAGATGGCACTTTTCGCCTTCTAACGGAATGCACTCGGACTTTATGAGCCAGCATAATGCCAGTGGTGGGCTGAAGTGACATTTAGGAACAAACAAACCACAACAGCGCATTAAAAGCTCCAAAATTTTCAGCTAAAAGCTGATGAATCACTGGGATAAAACTGTAAAATAACTTAGAAAATAATACGGTTCATCTAACTACAAATAGAGAAGTAATTAACAGCACAATTACTTGGTTCATAGTGTTTGTCCATTGAAAAAAGGTCTTTGTGATGCTTTTATAACAGCAGCCCTTTCAGCTGAAAGCTAAATACCTGTGTGGGTCATAGGCAGGCCATTGTGCATAGCAAACCCATGTCCTGCTCTAACAGAGATAAAAGCAATCTTTTTTTCCCCCCCTCTTCTAGGGGAATATAGGTTGGTTTTCTTTGTTCTTTTCACAGTGGAGATCACTGTGCTACTGAAGTACACCCGAGACTTCTGATTTAACAAAAAAAAAAAAAAAGAAAAGAAAGAAAAGAATGTAAATTGACCTCTGCACAATGGACTAACAATTAGGATATTTAAATAACTTGCAAGGATCTTGGTATTCCCTTACAAAAACAGAAAGCTTTTTAGCTGTTACCAGGCTTTCTAGGTACAATCCACATTATGTCTGCACGCATTCTCACTGCATCTAGCTGATGCCATTTATTTACACTGTCAGGTCCTTGCTCCGACTGATTCTGCTTGGACTCCCCCTACACACTATGGACTTTGATTCTGATAACAGAGCTTTTCTTTACACTGTTTTACTAGTATTTTGTTCCTAATCTGCTCAGGGTAGTCTCTGGTAAGAAAGCAGCATGTTTATGTGTTTGATAACACATCTCTCAAGCCTTTGTTGTTGGTTTTGTCACAAACTGCTGTCACAGCAGTCCCAGCCCTGCTGCTAGAGGATAGGTCTGGCAAGCATTGATGGCCATCTTAGAGTCAAGCCTGGTAGCCTGTAATGTTTTTTTTAACTATTCATATTTTCTTGCATGCCATTTGCAATTTCCAGTCTGCCGAAGAGCAGTTCCTTGCTGAATGCAAACTGTGCTGCTCTGTGTATCTGTGCCACTTATGTCTTTGGTACACGGCTGCATTGGGCGCTGCTCCCTCTGTCCTACACCCCTACCAGCAGCCCTGCTCTTTTTTGGTTTGTTTTTGGAAATCCACTGTTAGGCAAAATCCGCTCCCTGCGGCAGAGCACAGAGGAGTTACTCTTCTGGAGAATAAACTACTTAGTGATCATGGAGATTTTTATGGTGAAGGCACCTTCCCGAGTCCTTCAAACATACTTATGTATGCTTCTGCTATGTGAGAAACTCTCACATGTTCTAAATGCCGCAGCTTTAGAGAGCTTGTGCTCGGATCAAGGTGCTCCTGAGTCTCCTACATTCCTACAATGGTAAATGATTAGTTACCCAAGTTGGACTTTTCCCAGCTCGTCACGTTGCAATGTGACATTTCCCTTTTCCTCTCCTTCCTTGACTCATCTCTCTTCAACAGCTTCATCTTTCTCTGGACTTTTCCTTGCAAAGATGACTTTAAAAACAAAACAAAACACCCTTTTCTCACTGCGTGGTGCCCCCCTCTCTTATTCATCTTATGGCAGCCTTTACTTTGTCAGACTGATTTCTGAAACTCACCACTCCCAAGTGCCAGTCAAGGGCTGCTGCCATTCAACAGCACTCTGAATACAGTTTAATTTAATTATGAGGAAATTAACTGGTCAAAGATAAAAATTCAAAAGAGAGTTTTAAAATGTCATTGTTTCCACTGTCTTTCTCTGGCAAGTTTTCTTTCAACATTCTATTTACAAAAGGATAAAGATAACCTTTGCTTTCTATATGAGGATTTGCTGAGGAGATGAACATTTTAACACCCTACTTTTCTGCACAGATGTGGGCTCTGTCAGACTCTCAGAGTTCATGGTATTTTAAGTCAAGAAAAAAAAATGTTCAACTGTTCAAAAAGACTTTAAGAAACAGTTCTGTGGGGTGCAAGTGACTTTTGAGGAAATAGAGGAGGAAAAAAAGCTTAGATAAAGTGTTTTGTGAAAAGCAGTAGTGTTTGCTACTTACGTGCCATTGATGTGAAGAGATAAACTCAAGTTTTCCATGACGTGAGTCTCTCTGGAGCCCACTATGTGAATGCTTTTAACAGCATCTGAGGGGAAGAAAGCCAGCATATCACATGGAATACAAACCTGAAATTCAGTGTGTTTCCAATAAACGTTTCATCTCTTAGACCATGCAGATGTGAGCTGCATCGCTCATACAAACAACACCTTCCTCACACCCCAAAGAAAGAAACCTACTGGTAGAGTTGTTACAAGTTTTTGGAACGCTTTGTGATTTCTTTTTAGAATATAATCAGATACTTCAACAATCCCGTGCATTATTATGTGTGTTTGTTTACAACTGATCAGATCGATGGAACTTTCATAACACTTGTTTTAACGGATGTATTTCTTAGGGATATTCATCATAAATTAAAGAAACAGATCCTCCGTAAGTATGATAAACAAATTATTTGAAGCTTTGAGTATATTTGAGGCTGTTACAAAAGACAGTGGAACTTCTAAGGAATGAAAAAGAAACAGAAGATTTTAGATTTTTTGTGAACCAGAATGGTGCAAAATCCATTTTAGAATGCAAACTCTTCATTGAAAAATACTGACCAGTTCATCCACTTGAATCAGCACCCATGTTGTGTTACCACCTTAAAAACCTACCACCTAGATTGCATCATTACATACATATAACATTTTATTTTGAGTGTGCAAAATGTTTTATAATTACCTAGCAGCTCCAGAGCAGTGGTAAAATCACCAGTTTTCTGCACAGTTTCTGTTTCATGTATGATGCTTCCAATTTGCTCCCATTCCGCTACGACTTTGAGATGCACTGTGCGGTTCCCCATGGTGGAGTAGTTACAGTAGACAAAGGGCTCCTTGGTAATCTGATAAACTCTGTGTGCAATACGAAAATAAAAAAAATTTATCAAGTACTTGCTTATTTCTGATTTAACATTGAAAAAGGAGTATTTTCTTTAAAGCCAGTGGTAGTCAGCTATGATTCTAATTCTCCCTTATGTCCTCATCAATAAGGATTAATGTCTGTTGCACTTCGTAGGTGTAAAACCAGTAAAACTATCGTCAGTATCAGACTCACGGTGTATTTATGAAACCAAGGATAGTGCTACAGGACTTAACAAAATGGAATAGGAACAGACAATAAAAGATGAAAACTCATTAAAACAGGTGGACTACAGCTAATTGAAGTATTGAAAAGGAAAAATAAAATATTTTTTTTAAAAAAGAAAGGAAGATAGAAAGAAAGATGCAGCATTCAAACACTGGATCTTATTTTTCTATTTGTGTACACTTGTTTGTGCTGGACATAAATTTGTACTCAAGAGAAGGCAAATAGCTGGACATCTTTCACCCTCCCTGCTGCGGGGTCATACCAGTGGGCAAAGGCGTGCGTGCTGTCCTGTGTATTAATCAGGATTTCCCTCTAGATGAGCAGCTGAGTGAGAGGCACCTTGAGTATTCATTAAAGAGAACAAAGTAACCACACCTACCCATCCCCAAAATCCCAGTTGTAGACAAATGAAGCTGACTTGAAGTAATCACTTGGATCATGAAGGCAGAAAGAAATCCGTGTCACAGCACCCATAGAAGAGCTGGAACCATGCTTGATAAATCTGCTGTCTTCTATCTGGGCAATGGTAAGATTCCCCGTGACGAATTCTGCAGAAAATTAAGGTAGACAAAGAATGACAGCACATATCACTTTCACAGGATGTGTGTACTGACACATGACTTAAAATACACAGCATAAGTCTTTCTGTGCCCCGTCCAAACAGTTAAGTGCATTTTTTATCTATTACTCAATGTTGCTACACGTGATGAGATTCCTTGACTTATGGAAGGTTACACAGTGGGACAAGATGAAGCTTCTAATAGGACTAAGAGAAAAAATCCTGGACTGACTGAGATAGGTAGCCTCCAGCACAGCCCAGCTGGTACAGTGCTGGCCAAAACCGCCTGCAACGAAGGCCTACACAAATCAAACTGCTGGCGGAAGCCATTTACGTCTGGCTTTCATTTCGTGATGCTAGCAAGGGCAGCAGCAATTCTGCTTTACCTGTGATCTGAAGCATGGTGACGTTCCTAGCAACCGGCCGACATAACCAGCAGTTTCTGTGAGTCACCCAGACAGATACGGGAAAGGTCCCAGGAAATTCACCAGTCACGTTAATTACGGACTTAAACCGCTGCTCGGATTTCTCTATCAGGATCAGAGGAGCATAAATCCAGTTAAAGTGATACAAGTTTGATACAGTGCTGTCGTTCTTCGTCCTCAGAGTGGCGTGAAGAGTGGCTTGTGCTCCTGTTGTGATGGGACCATTGTTGGTGATTTCCAGACCATACTCCTCTGTGGATTTCAGAAGCAGGACAAAAAAGAGAAATCTTGTAAATACGTGCACCTTACCTAGGCAGCTGTGGTTATGTGACTCACAGCACTAACTTAAAACTGCCACCTTTTTGCCATTTAAAAACCTGGAATAGGAACTGTTGTGTGCAAATATGCATGCAAACATTAAACATCTGTTAGAAGGGGTCCTAGAGGTGTCAACAGTAGGAGGGAGCCTCTGATTAGAACATCCCAAAAACTCTGAGGAGTTTTTACAGATACAGTTAGGCTATAGCTGTAGGTCCAGTGTCACTAATGGTCTAACAGTGCCATCACTGAGCTTCCAGCTACTGGAAGAAGGCCACGTTCAGCTCTAATCTTGGTTGTTCCAATTAACTTGTAATTAAGCACAACTCACCCTAACCCAAGAAGCTGAAATGCAAGTGAAGGAGAAAGCAAAACTTTTCAATAATATCCCATCCACACCTTTTTGATTTCTGCAGTGCCAGTGAGGAGCAGAGTGAAGAAGCCAAAGGTGAGGATTCAGAACAATCCTTTGCGGCTACAGAAAACAGAAGTTACCAGGTTGGCCTCAAGAAACCTCTCACTGGGCAAACCATTGTCCTATAGAACATATGGACTTCCAAAGCCAGGTAAGATTTCATTCGATTGCTTCCCCTGTCAGCAATACTGAACAGCTCAACCTCCTCCTAACTGAGTGCAAAACATCAGTACAGCCATTTCTTCTCTATAATCTATAAGGAGACTCCACAGCCTCTCTGGGCAGCCTTTTCCAGTGCTCTGTCACCCTCAAAGTGAAGAAATTTTTCCTCATGTTTGTGTGGAATTTCCTATGCCCAGTTAGTGCCCATTGCCCCTTGTTCTGCCACTGGACGGGATTGAAAAGAGCCTGGAAATGAATGTAAATGAAATTTACTGAGCAGATGGTGAGGCTGTGGCATAGGCTGCCCATCCTTGGAGGTACCTGAGGCTGCGGATGGGGCCCTGGGCAGCCTGAGCTGCTGGGGAGCAGCCAGCCCATGGCCAGGGGTTGGGACTGGATGGGCTCTAAGGTACCTTCCAACCTAAGCTATTTTATGGTGAAATGATCTGCTAAATCAAAACACAACAGCCACTGCAAGCTCTGAAGTGGGTCAGAGCTGCGAAGGGAATCTGGTGGTTTGCCACCCTGAGCAGTTCTCTGCCCAGCTGTTCTCTCATGGGGGGCAATGCTAAGCAGAGCTGTGCAGCTGTGCGCTTCCCTCACTCTCCCAGCAGCTAACAGACTGCTCACGGGGACAGGAGGGGGCAGCGGGGGCAGCTAACCCCTGCACTGCCTTTCCCGCAGCCCTCTGGCTGGGATGGGAGAGGAGCCCAGAGCATCCATGTAGTGCCCTCACGTTATTCCAGGGATTGCAGGTTCCGAGCAAATTTGGATGCAAATGAATGGTGAAAAACAACTTTCACAGTACCCACCACACTAGAATTCTTCTGTTGCCCCCATACAGGGCAAGGAACAGCTGTGAGTTTGTTCAGCTTTTGGGATTCATAGAGGAAAATGTGATTTAATGAAACCGAGTGCTGCGAGGCTCCAGCTCTCTAGAAGGTTCAGGACGTCTTCCGCTTCTTCTTAGCGAGACTTGCGGAAAAAAACAGCCGCCTCGCGGTTATCTACCGCACTTCTCCTTGAGGCTCCCGCCGGGCTCTGCCCAGCCAGTGCCTCCCCCGCGGGCACGGAGCTCAGCAGCGCTCCGCGGTCCCTTCCACCTTTCCGACCCGCGCAGCGCGAGGCCAAAGCGGGAGCCGCAGGCTGCCGGAGCGCAGCGTGAAGCAGAAACGCTTCCCGGCTTCGGGCAACCATCAGCCCCCGGCCGGCCCAGCTCCCCGAGGTGACGCGGCCCGTCCCCCCTCCGCCCCGCCGTCCGCGCAGCCCCGCGCCCGAGCGCCTCTCCATCTCCCGGGGCCGCGGCCCCTTCCCCCCGTTACCCGGCGCCGTGGCGGCACGGCCGAGCAGCAGCAGCACGGCGGGCAGCAGCACGCAGCTCAGCCGCAGCATGACGGGCGCTCAGCGCCGGGCGCTGCCCCCGAGGCCGCCCGCGGTACTGCGGCGCTCCGTCCGTCCGTCCGTCCGTCCGCCCCCGTGGCCGCTCCCCCTCGGCAGCGCCCAACCACCCCCGGGGGGACGGGCCCCGCGGGGCCGCGCCGTCACAAATCTAGCGGCAGGCAGCCCGGGGCCGTCCCCATCCAGCGGCCCTGCCCGCCGCAGCTCCGTGAGCCGCGGGGCTCCGTCCGAGCACAGCCGCTCCGAGCTCCTCGCGGCGCTGCCCGGCTCCGCGGGTGGGGGCGCGCCGTGCAGCGGGGGCGGTGCGCGAGGAGCCCCGAGCGCAGCGTGCGCCCGAATGAACCCGCGGGGCGGTCCGGCCGTGCGCCGCACCTGGCTGCGCGTCCCGCTGCCCGCGGCCGCAGCGCTGGGGCGGACGCTCCGCGGAGAGGCCCGGCGGCGCCGCGCAGCCCGGGGCAGCGCCGTTCCCCGCGCACCGTGGCGGCGCTGCGCTGCGCTCCGCCCGGGGGTGCGCGCGAGGCGGGCGGCGGGAGGAGGCGGGCGGCGGGAGGAGGCGGCCGGAACTGAGCTCGGGAGCTTCCGTTGCGCCCATGCGCCGCCGCCGGGCTCCGGCAGCAACAAAGGAGGGAGCCGGGGGGCCGCGGGGTGAGCAGCGCGGGGGCGGCGGGCCGGGCCCGGCGGCGGGGCGGGCCGGGGCGAAGCGGCGGGCGGCGGGGCCCGGAACGGAGGAGGAGGAAGGGCCGCCATCCGGCATTTCCGCGCTCGGAGGCCTCGGGCCGCGGGGAGCGCCGGCGCGGCCGGTCGTTCCGTGCCCGTGTCGGCGGGGCGGCGCGGCTCGGCGGGGATGGGGGCGGCGTGATGGCGGCGGCGGGGAGCGCCGGGCGGCGCAGGTAAGCGGCCGCGAGCGGCGGCGGGGCCGGAGCCGGAGGCTGAGGATCGAGCGGTGTCCGAACGCGGGTGGCTCTGCAGGCGGGAAGGGCCGCGAGCGGCGGCTGCTGGCAGCCGTGGTGCGGGGCGCTGTGGGATGCGGGCGGGTCGGAGGGCAGAGCGGCGGACGCAGGAGGCGCCGATGCTGACACGGATCGCGGAGCCCGGAGTGGTGCCGTAGGAAGGGAGCTCGGGGGTCACCCGGTTCCGTCTCTTTGCTGTGGGCGGGGCTGCCGGCTCCCAAACCGGGCAGCGGCTCCGGCTGCCCATCCGTGCCCTCGGCGCCTCCGGGGATGGGGCAGCACAGCTCAGCACAGCACGTCACCGATCTCTTAGAGAAAATTGTCCCCGATGTCTAGCCTAAATCTCCCGTCTTTCAGTTTCAAGCCGTTCCCCCTTATCCTGTCACTGTCTACTCGTGTAAAAAGTCAGTTTCCCACCGGTTTATACCCTCCCTTTAAGTACTGGAGGCTGCCCTTGGGTCTCCCTACAGCCTGCTCTTCTCCAGGCTGCACGCCCCCGGCTCCCTCACCTGTCCCTGTCCAACCTCTGAGCATCTCTGTGCCCACACCAGCAGCTCCCATCCCTCCTGAGCTGTGGCCCCAGGCCTGGGTGCAGTGTTCCAGGTGAGGCCTCAGAGCAGATGCAGAGAGGGCAGATGGAAGAGCTGGGTTGCCTTGGCTGTTTGGAGGTTTGTACCTGTGCTCCTGGGTGCTGTACACTCCAGGCATTGTTCACATGGGCCTTCAGAGATGTGCCCTGTGACTCTGGGAGTGAGATGTGTCCTCTTCAGTATGTTAGAAGAATGGGTTTAGGTGATATGATGACTGTAATTAAACAGATGTGTAAAGTAACACACACATATATTTTGTAGGTGTGTTGATCTTGATTTTATGTAGAGAAAGCTGATCCTCCCTCCTCCAAGATGGCATTTGTTTCAGCACAAGGGCCCACAGTGGTGGACCAAACCACTCTGATGAAAAAGTACCTTCAGTTTGTGGCTGCTCTTACAGATGTCAATACACGTAAGATACAATTTTTTCCATATTGTAAGTTAAGCCATAAAATCACTTTTGAACTGGAGGGGAGCCTTAAAGCTCATCTAGTGTAACTCCCCACACTGAGCAGGGACACTGACAGCTCCATCAGTGCTCTGATCCATCCCCTGAGCTTGGATGTCTGCAGGGACAGGGCATGGCCAACATTCTGTGCACCCTGTGCCACTGCCTCACTATCCTTATTGTAAAAAACATTTTCCTTACATTCAATCTAGATTTCCCATCTTCTAGTTTGAAACCATTTCTCCTTCCTTGTCTTATCAGAACAGACTGCTAATAGAATCACAGAAACATTTGTTTCACAAATGTCTGAATATTGTTAAAAAAATTGACAAATGCGTGCTAAATTCACTTTAAATTTTGTTAAAATATTGATTTTTGAAGAAGCAAAGTGATGAATAATATTTCCTTGAGCCAAAGAGAGAGTGAGTTGTGTGTGTGTGGTTGTTTGACAGGGATGTCTGTGAGAATTGTGTGCTTATAATTTGGCGGTGACAGCTAAACTGATAAGATCTGATTGCTTCTTTCGTCAGTGAGCCTGGTACTTGCTTTCATGATTTAGCTTTGTATTTATTTACTTTTTTGTTTGAATTTCCTCTTTCAGCTGATGAAACCAAATTGAAAATGATGCAAGAAGTCAGTGAGAATTTTGAGGTAATTATTAAAAAAAAAGCTGTCCAGGATGGCAGTCCTTACGGTGCTTCGTGTCTGTCAGTTTTGACATCTGATATTATGCAGTTAGAAGATCGTGTATTATTGTTGGGAGTTGTAAGTTCTACTATAAATCACGTTACTGCTGCGTTTAGCAACTACCCAGATGTTTGAAGAGTTCATCTTTGAACTTGAGAGCTCTTTTATTCTGTGGTCATTATTCAGTAAGCATTTAAATAAAGGTGACATCACGTTTTCTTTTTTCTATTTTCTATATATCTCTGTATTTTAAGCATTGTTTTATTTCTTTTGAGTTTGTATTTTGTTCTCATGATGCAAAAGGCCCTCTGTTACTCCTGAATGATTCCACAGGATGGAAGTGAGAAGAGCTGTCAGATGCAGTCTGGCACCAGGAGTGGAGATGCCTCCAATGACATTTCTTGCTCAGTGATAGATCAGGTTTAGATGAGCACCAGAAACAAAGTTGGGAAACAAGTTAAACCAAGCATATGTTAGTCACATTGTACTGTCATTGAGCACCTAGTTAGTATGTGTCTGCTCTGAAATTATGGAGAACTTGTTCTTTTGTGGAATAAATAAATGCAAGATCTTAGAATAGCTGTAATTCTCTCTGTCTCTGTCTTTTTAGTTGTGTTGTGATAAATAAGAAAACAGGTGCTGTTGCTGTAACAGCTTTTGTCCAAATCTATGTTGTTTGGAGGTGATCTTGCTTAGTCTGTGGCGTGGACACAAAAATACCCGTTCTAGTGCTGTTTGATGTCATCAGATGTTCTTAAGTAAGCTTTATGCAAGGTGCTGGAAGTGCAGTGCTGTGCAGATTTCAGTTGTTGATGGGCTATCAGTGGAATCTCCTGCCCAGCAAACTGTTTTGTTTATGTTAATGCAGTGAAATGCAATTAGAGCTATTAAAACTGTATTATTTGCAATAAAAAAGTTAAGAGGCTTCATCCTTGCTTAGTGTGTATAAGGGACTAAGATATCCGTGACTGTTCTGCAGTAGTTTGTACACAGGCTGAGCAGAACTTGCTATTAAAGTAAGTGAGTATCTGAAAATATCCTCCTGGGGTTTTTGTGTATTTATTTCAAAGATGCTAACCCTGTAGTATGTCAGCAGATGCTTAAATACTACCTCTGATAAAAGTCACTGAAAATATTTTCTAGAAGCTTTGAATGTAACTTGATACAATCTGTGGTAGTGTGTTATATGTCTTCATGTTTTCATTTTCTTTTTACTTAGAATGTGACATCATCCCCTCAATATTCTACATTCCTGGAACACATCATCCCAAGGTTCCTCACCTTCCTGCAGGACGGAGAAGTTCAGTTTCTGCAGGAGAAGCCAGCCCAGGTAAGCTGTGCAGAGCATCTCTTTGCCTTCTGCAGTGTGTGCAGCAGGCTGCTTGTTCAGTGATGCCAATGAACTGATTTCTGTACTATCTTTGTTCTTAAAAATAGATCTGTTGTTTGGAGTGAAACTGAAAAAGTCCAGTTTCTGAATATGTTGCTTTTAAGCTTTGCAATCATGCTTCTAAGAGCAGTTAGGGAGAAACTAGATGGGTTGGACTTGGCTTTCTCACTCATAATTTGTTACACTTTGTAACATAAGTGGTTGAGAATCTATGTCATTAAAGGTTTACAGGACTTGTTTTAGGACCTCATTTTCAACAGTGATTGTTACATTTGGCTGATTCACCTGTTTAAAATAGGAAGCACTTTGTGTTTGTATCTAAGTGTGTGCCTGTGCAAAGCAAAGTGGCTTTTTATTTTAAGTGCACTCGAGTATGGAAGTTGAAAACATGCATTGACTAACTGTTGTTTTTTGTGGTCTTCTAAAAAATCCCAGAAGCTCTTTATTTATTTAATTATTTCTTAATTTAAACAGCAACTCCGGAAATTAGTGCTTGAAATAATCCACAGAATACCAACAAATGAACACCTTCGTCTTCATACCAAGAATATCCTGTCTGTGATGTTTAGATTTCTAGAGGTATTTATCTTTGCTTATGGGTGTGTGTGTATTTTCTTTTAAAACTGTTCCAGATTTGCAGAAAGTTTTACTTCATCTCCAGAATTGCTGGGGGTGGGTTTTTGAGGAACAACATTGACTGTGCTTCTGGAGCAAGAGTGGAGCAACATTCTACTTAGCCTTTATCAGTGTAATTACTTACTGTCTGTAGGATTTCTGATTTCTTCATGTTCTCTTTTTTTTCTCCCTTTACTGGCTTTTAATTTTACAGGGAACTGTTCTTTATCGCTTACTTTAGACAGCATTACATTTGTAAGCATTTTCTTGCTTAATTTATATAGATGCAAATGCTTTATTCTGGAGACGTAGATCTGCTTCTTATTCAGCACTGAAAACATTGTTACTCGAAGCCTGCCAAAAATAACATGTTATATTTGGAGATGTCTTGGTGTGCAAATGGCCCCACTCATGTTTCTGTCTGTGGGGCCTGTAATCAGGTCTGATGGTGTGCAGCCACTGAAACTTCTGATTTTTGTTCCAGAAGGGATGAATTTAGTTTACTTTCTGCCTTCCCCAGAGGTTACAAGGTAAAGTTAGATCAAATTAAAGGCATCTTGCTCATGCAAATCTGCAGTAATGGAAT